TGGTGTCTCATAGGACTCATTGTGGCGGTGATCGCCTATTACTACATGTAAGGCATACTTATATTAGATTTAATTATTAAATTGCAATTAATTTAAAACATAATATTTCATGAAATTATTCATTCATTCATTCATTCATTCATTCATTGAGTTCGTGGAGGAATGCCTTCAGCTATTGGAAGGATCGACACATTTCTGGTCCAAAACCTATACCTATATTCGGAAACCTTTTGAGGTTAACCCTAAATCCTCGACAATTAGTGGAGTTGGGGCTAAATCCTCGACAATTAGTGGAGTTGGAGTTGTATAAGAAATACGGCAAAATTTATGGGTAATTATGCCATAAAAATAAAAACAAATTGAATATATTTTTTATACAAACTTTTGATTGTGTTTACAGATTATACATATTATCGAAACCCACGCTAACAGTGGCCGACCCGCAGCTCATTAAACAAATTCTGGTCAAAGATTTCAATGCGTTTCGTAACCGACCCACACCTCCCGGGTACGACAGCCTATCTTTGCCCAAAGCTAGAGATAACAACTGGAAGCGGGTCCGGGCGATAGTTAGCCCTACTTTTACGTCCGGAAAGATGAGGAAAATGTATGCTCTGATCGACCAGTGCTGCCAAGACTTCATCGATAGCCTCGATAAGGATGTGTCGAATGGTATAAACGAAGTCGAGTTGACGCAACTGATGGGGGCCTACACTATGGATGTGATCGCCAGCTGTGCCTTCGCCACCAAAACCAGTACATACGCCGATCCTAACAACCCGTTCACTACCAATGCCTTCAAATTCGCCAATAAACCCATTTGGAAAGAGATGTTATCGTTGCTTTTTCCATCATTTATAGTCAACACTAATATATACCGACGTGTCGTTAGCGCCGGCATAACTGAAAAGAAATTTTTCTTTGATTTCTCGCGAAGTCTCATAAAGAAAAGGAGAGATAATAAAGAAAAACACAACGATTTTCTGCAGTTTTTAATGGATGCCGAGAGACCTGATGGAGATATACGAGAGGCCAGTGATGCCAATGAAGCACATCATGTGAATGAGGGTAAGGATGAGATGAAAGCCTATGTCGAGGCCTTCGCCGGTGTGTTGGAGAAGACGTTGACTGAAGACGAGATATTAGCGCAATGTTTCCTATTCTTCTTCGCGGGATACGAGACATCACTCAATACTCTGTCATTCTGTACCTATGAGTTGGCACTCAATCCTTCACTTCAGGACAGACTCTATGAGGAGACCAAAGAGGCGTTCAATGAAAAGGGAGAAATGGATTACGAAGTGCTGTCGAGACTACCATTCATTGACGCACTTCTCTCCGAAACTCTTCGTCATTATTCTGTTGCACTTCGACTTAAGAGGGAAGCCATGGAAGACGTCATGTTAGGCAACACTGGAGTGAAGATCGAGAAGGGAATGATCGTTGAGATCCCTATCTATGCCATACATCACGACCCCGACCACTATCCGGATCCATTTACCTTCAACCCGGATAGATTTATGCCCGAAAACCGGGGTCATATCAAACCCTATACTTACCTCCCATTCGGTTCGGGTCCACGAAATTGCATTGGAATGCAATTCGCGTTATTGGAGGCAAAGCTCGCGTTAGCGAAGATCTCACAGAAGTTCCGCTTCTCCAGAGTCACCGACACTGACGTCCCCGTCGTCTTCACTAAGGGTCGGGCTTTCTGTCTGGCGAAGCGACTTGTTGTGGGCATTCAGAAGCTATAAGCTATGCTTTTACCTAAACTACACATATCTATACATGATTTATACTGCTAAATACAATATATTACAAATCAAGTTAAAGTATCATGCAAGTTATATTAAAGTTAAAAAAATAATGTTACTAAATTAATTTGTTTAATGCAAACTCTTATTAAAAAATATAAAAGTTATTAAAAACAATTGTATATATTTTGGCAATTTGATTAAAAATGAGTAATATTAATATATGTGATCACTATTCAAGTATACAAGACATCCATCTTAAACAACTTCAAAGACAATGTAATAAATACAATAAAACGCAAAATTGTTTTAAGTATATAAGTGTTATATTAAACTTAAATGTCATGCTATTTGCTATTTTCATGCACTTTTTTTATAAAAACCTACAAAACAGCTTTCGTATCATTAAAGTAATGCAATAAAAATTATGTAATATTCTGTTTGACGACAAAATATTAAAGCAAATTAAGAACACTGTCATAATACTGATAAGGTCTGAACGCCGTTAGTAAAAGAATTTAGCCGATTATCAGGCACATAACTGTATTTATTGAACAAATGGTTATATAAAACTAATACAATATGAGTTTAACCCAAAATCTAGCTCTAGTGAACCCAAGTATGGACCAAACTGTGTATAGTCTAAGGGTCAGTATAACATAAGAGAGTGCATGCAATTGTGTTAAGTATTTTTATACAACTGTCCATAACGTAGGTCAAGCCTTTGGGAGGTGGCCTTTTGGTCAGTATAGCTAATCTTTTACATCATATCATTACCTCGGTCTAATGAAACTCTGTCCCAGAGTTGTAACAAAAGTTCTGGACAATTATAAGGCTTGTGATATTAATTGACGTATTATGTGTATGAATGCATGCAATGTGTATAACACGTGACGTGTATTTGAGTGTTTGGCTCCAAACACATCACATGTTTTGTATTGTTTGAGTCAATCGTTTGGTTTGTGTTTGCATTCAATTCAAAACAATATTTATAATAATAATAATCATAACAATAATAATAATTTGGACACAAATGCCGCCGAAGAAGTCAAAGAAGTCGCCGAATGCGTTCACCACGGCCATGGAGACGAGGAATAACTCCAAGTGTAAGTGATTATTTTTTGTGTAATTTAATGGCAAATCTCATAGTTTTGGATATTTATCATAATAGGGACCACTGGTAGTGTTGAGTACGAGAAGTTGGA